GACCTCCTTCAGAAGTACTCATGGTGTCTGGGCTGGGTTTATGCAGGGCTGTCACAACAGGTGAGAGGGCTCTTCCCTGGGCAGGAGAGCCCAGAGCCCTATCCTGGCTCCCACAGCCCCTCGTGTGTGTCTCTAACTGAGTGTAGTATCAAGGTAAGATTTTTAGTTTTTCAAAGATCACTGCTACTGACATTCACAAAGGGAAAGCACTGAGGTATTTTATAGCATTTCCATAAACTGCCTCTCTGAACAAATGCAGTCACTTGACTTTGTTTTCTGGGAGTTTTGTTTAATCACTATAAAACTTCTTTTAAATCTCCTCCAGCTCTCTAAAGACATTAATTCTGTCAGAGCAGGAGGTGGCACTTCACAGGCATTTCCCGTTGTGTCTAGATGGAAATACATGGGAGCCATGTGATTTTTCACATGGGCAGATAGTAATAGAACAAGCAGAAATTGTTTTAAAAAGGTGAGATTTAGGTTAGATATTAGGGGAAAAATTATCTTTGTGAGGGTGATGAGGCCCTGGCACAGGGTGCCCAGAGAAGCTGTGGCTGCTCCATCCCTGGCAGTGTTCAAGGCCAGGCTGGACAGGGCTTGGAGCAACCTGGGATAGTGGAAGGTGTCCCTGCCATAGCAGAGGTAGGAAAAAGATGAGCTTTAAGGTCCCTTCCAACCCAAGCCTCTATGATTTCTAACTTGTATTATTTTCCTCTTGACTAACAAAATTTGAGCAGGCTTCTTAGCAGTGCCTCTAACTGGTACAGGTATCTTCACCTGCAGAAGGAGAACAATCAGGTCTGAAGTGATTCTTGTGACCCATAAAATCAATGTGTCCATATTGTCTTGGGTATGAATTGTCCCTGGGGCTCATTTTCACTTGGACTCTCTACAAAGAAAACATCCTACAGTTCATTACAGCTCCAACCTTGAAGTGTTCCTGAAGCTGATGAAAATCAGAGGTCAGGTCACTTGGAATGCAGCTGTTCCAGTTCCCTTTGCTGTTGGAAAGTGCCTCCCAAAGCAGCTCCTTCCAGCCAGGACACCCTATGGCAAAGGCCAGCCCAAAGCCCTGCAGCTGGGATCTCCAAGGGAATAATGCCACTGATGCCATTTGCTGCAAGATTATTCTATGGCTGTTTTATTTAAAAGGCAAATGAGCTTGCCTTGTAGGAGAGATTATTTCAGTGTTCTGCTTTCTGTGTGAGGAAATGAGGTCGTTCCTCCAGCCCTTCCCGAGGGGAAAGGGGGATGCATGGAGCAGGACAGGGATAGCAGCCAGCCCTGATGTTTGAGGGCAGGGGAGCTCCTCAGCTGACTCTGCCTCCTCAGCTGACTCTGGCTGGGGCCTTTGAGGTGATTTAACAAAAATAAAGATGGTTTGAGAAGGTCTTTGAAGTTCCTGGAAGGATTGGAAATGTCACCAGGCTGTACTGAATCAACAATAGCAACAGAGCACTGGCACTTGAGGCCAGACACACTTGAGGGCAATTGTGGTGCTTAAATCTGAGCCCAAATACCTTGGCTGTGACCCTGGTGGTGCTGCCAGGTACTGAGCAGGTACCAGCCTGGTGGGGGGAACTGGGGCTGGATTTCACATTCTCTTGTGACTCTACTTTTAGTCTTCCAAGAAGCAAGCACCTCTGGAAGGAGAGGGAGAGGAGCCCAGCATGCCCAGCTGGATTTTGAGGGTGCAGAGGACTCTCCAGTGGAAGGCTCTGCAAACAGCTCCCCTGCCCAGGGCTGCATCTGTGGCCATTGCCCAAGCCCCTGAGGGCAGGTGCAAGGTGCTCATTTGGAAGCATGCTGCTTTCTAAAAATAATTACAGAAGAAAGATTATAAACAAACATCCTCCTCCCCAAAATCAATCATCCACAGCATGCTGTGAATTCCACCTGCTTGCTGAAATAAGCCTCAGAAAATCCTGTGAGCAGGAAAAGCCTAGTGCTGCAAAACTGGAAGCTTAAGCATGATTTCCATGTTCTCCTGTTGTTCTACACTTTTTGGAGCAGGGATGATGTTCCTAAGCAAACTGAGCTGATGGTCCTGCTCCAGTGCCCACAGGAATTGTAGTTCTACATTGCAGCACAAGCTGTGAGTAACCTCAGCAAATCCAGAGCAGATCATGGCTGCTGAGCTGCAGCCCTTTGGAGGGGTAAGTCAGCAACTGGAATGCTCCTGACCGGTGGGATTGGCCTCAGAGCCAGGAGGGAATGCTCCCTGCTTCTCCTGTGGAAGCACTGGGATGTTCTTGTCTTCCTCAGGGTTTGTCTCCTGCCACAGATGCAGGAAGCACTGACCCTTAGCTCAGTGTTGTGCTGAGAGCCAAGGACAGACTCTTCTGGATGGGCTTGTTCTGACTTTGGTTTTTGAAGCCCATTCTAAGGTGTGGTTTCTGAGATTGCTGGGCAGTCAGAAGTCCTGTTTTATATTTGCAGAGGGCTTCAGTGGGGTTAATTTGCAATTGCACTAACTAATGCATGCCCAGTTGTCCAAAGCTCCTGATCCTTTTGTGTTTGTCATTTGCAATATTTCTTAGAGCCTTACTTAGACTTACTTTAGTAGCTCAGGCAATGAACCCTTTGAGCACACATACATGGACAGGGGTGTGTTTTGTTGCTCCTGGGCCTTTCCCTTCCAGCAAAGCCTGTGCTGCCCTTCAGCCAAGCCAGGTGGCACAAAGGGATCCCAGGAATGTGCCAAGGGGGTACTGTGGTTTCCCCCTTTAGCAGAGCAGCACAAAGAGTGTCTGTGCTGTCTGTTGGTAGGTGGACAATGACTTTGGGTCTGGCTGCCTGGCCTTGGACACCACTGATCTGCCCCAGAAGCTCTGTGCTGCTGTGCCCTCCCCTTGTTCTGCCTGGCCAGGCTGTTCTATGGCAAAGAGCCATCAGTGTCCTGTCCCCAGCCCTGGCAGTGCCCACAGCAGCTGGGGAGCTGGGCTGGGCTCCTGTGGCTGTGCCAGCCAAGCCACCAAGGGCTGTCCAAACAGGACAGTGGCACAGGGGCTGTGGGTCGCAGGGCACCCTGGGCACTGTGCCTGGAGCAGAGCAGGGCCATGTGGAGGGATTTAACTGAAGGGACATGTGCCATGCTTTCAGCTCTGCCAGCTGGGGTGGCTCTGGCTTGCCCTGGCCAGTGGCTGCTGTAGCCCTGGTGCAGTAACAGAGTAACCTGTTGTTTTGGGGTGTAGGCACAGCTGATCCAGGGAGTGCCCCCTGCCATGGCTCTGGTCAGGCTGCTCCTACACTGCTCCATTGAGATGGGCTGTGTGAGTCAGGCCGTGAGACTGGGCCAAGGAATTGCTGCTGGAGGTGATGCTCCACGTCAGGCAGCTCTGGCAGGGGGACTGTGGTTACCCCTCACCCCTGTGAGGCAGAGGGTGGTGGGTTCTGCCATCAGGACACTGCTCAGTTTGTGCTGGACTTAGTGTAGTGGCTTGAGGGAACTGGGATGCATTAGGTGCTTTCTGAGCTCCTGTGCAGATGCAGGCTGGAGACAGCTGGGTTGGCAGCCCTGCACAGGCCTCTCACTTCTCCTCTGCCAGCAGCACCATTGTGGTGCTGCTCAGCATCTCTGGGCACAGAAATGCTGCTGGAAACACAGATCTCCTCCTCTGTGATTCCTCCCTTTTAGGTCCTCCTTTGAAGTGGAGCTTTAGCTCTTAATATGGTAGATCGTGGGATGTGTAAGTGCAGGCATGTCCACGTAGTGTCAGTAAGGCTCCTGGGGCAGCTCTGATTGCCCCACAGGGAATGTGGCTCCCAGGGATGCTCAGAACTGGCTCTGGCTCTGCTGGAAATGGTGAGGCAGGTGTGGAGTGGGGAGTAACTGCAGATCTCTGGGACTAAGGAGACTGCTGGCAAGGGCTGGGATGTGTTATGGGGTGCAGGTGAAAACCAGTTTGGGATTGCACAGGACTTAATGGCAGGAGGGATAAGAAGAGGGAGTCTAGTGGTAGGATAGAGGTGGAGGTAGGATTAGAAAGGGAGTCTAGTGACTTGGGGAGGACTGAGAGTGCATGGATAGGAGGGGAAAGGGATCAGGTGTGTGTAGGAAGGTGGCTGCTCAGTGTGTTTGGCCATGCCCTGCCCAGTGCAGCTGTCCTGCATGCACAGCACCTGGAGTGGGACTTTGGCCTCAGGGGCTTGTATATCCTGGGCAGACTGAGAGCCTAAACATGGCTGCTGCAGCAGCCACATGGATTTTACTTGTATTTTACATGTATTTTCACTGGTGGACTTCCATCCTGGCTAGGCAGAGACAGGAGCAGGTTGGGGCTGTGGCTGCTGTCTGGGTTTGTGCAGCCAGCCACGTATCTATCCCTACAGGTGGGATATGTGTGTTCTGTGTCTGCTGGGCACACGTCTCCAGCCTTGCTGCCACTTGGATCTGGGGCCATGGAGTAGCAGCCTCACCACTCTTGGGCTGTTGCATCCAGATAATGCCTTTTCTTCTGGCATGGAGCAGCTGGGCTTGTCAGGGGCTTCAAATGTGTGTTCCTGCCATCAACATCTAACAATTTTTATGGCTTCTTTCCATTTTTATAGGAAAAAACATCACCCTGATCCAGACATTGAAACTCGTCAACTGATGGGACAAAGAGCTGAGACACTTGGCTGTTCTAGGACACTAAAACATAGGGTTTAGCCAAAGAATATTTCCCCACTGTGGAAGCTTACACCTGCCAAACCCTGTAGCATTCTTGGGAGGCTTTTCTATCCCTCTTCTCCATTTCCAGATTTCCACACATCATGGTATTCCTTTTGACTTCTTTTGCAAGCTAGCTCTGGCTCTGCCTTCGCTTCCCCTATGCTTTGGTGTGGGTCCCCAGCGTGAGCTGCTGCCTGTGGGCTGGTTCTGCACCTCTGCCTCCAGCTGCTGCTCGGAGGCTCCTCTTGGATGTTGTGACTGACCTGCTTTTTCTCTCTCTTCCACTGTATCTCCTTCCCTCCAATCTGTCTCCTGCGTTCTCCGTTGTCCCCCTCCGTCCCTGCAGGTTCATCATGCCTAGTGGCATATAAAAAGACTCCACCTCCCGTCCCACCTCGGACCACGTCCAAGCCCTTCATCTCTGTCACTGTGCAGAGCAGCACTGAGTCAGCCCAGGACACCTACCTGGACAGCCAGGACCACAAGAGTGAGGTCACCAGCCAGTCGGGGCTCAGCAATTCCTCAGACAGCTTGGACAGCACCAGGACGCCCAGCGTCACCAGGGGCAGCGTCGTGACTCCAGCCAGAGACACTCCAGAGTTACCTCAGAAAAATGCAACTTTGAAAAGTGACAAAGGGACTCTGACTAACGAAGAGCCTAAAGTGGAGAATATCCCCAAACGAAAGCTATCATCTATAGGAATACAAGTATGGAATAGTTTGTTCTTTGTCCCAAGGAATGTCCTTGCCCCATCCATTTAGCATGTGCCTTTGCTTGACCAGGTGTGCATCTGAGCTCACTTAGAATAGCAAGGGACACTCACTGCCTTGCCTGTGTTCCCAGGGTGAGAGACAACAGCACTTTCCCTTAACAGCCCCAAAAGGATTAAGCTCTTTCAGTACAAATTTGAAATGTTTTCTAGAGCAGAGGGGCCATGTTAACTGGGTGAGTCCCTCTGAAGAGGCCTGTTGCTGCTGCTTTGCCTGTGCCCTGTACTCTGTGTTGCTTCTAATCAGTCTGCTTCTTGTCCATCATGGTTGTAGGGACAATTCTCCCCTGAGAGGTGGGCCCTTCTCCTTGATGTCGATGTGGGAAGGGCTGCTGCAGTGCCAAATGATCCCAGGGCTGCAGGCAGGAGGGTGCAATTCCTTGCTACCCCATGTTCCCAGCAGGTTGATGCTTCCCTTGCTGGAAGCATTTAACTGTGGGAATAGATGGAAAAGAGCTGTGGATAAAGCAGTGAAATGAGAGCCCAGTGAGTAGTGTAAATTGGTGCTTTAGTCAGCAGAATGCATCCTCTGGGACGGGTTTCTCAGTCACAGGTGGCTGTGAGCTCTGGTTCTGTCCCAGGTGCTGGTTACCAGCAGAGGGGAGCTTGGGCAGCTCCAAGTGCAGGGTCTAAGCTTTGAGCTGTTCTGTGTGTGCTGAATGAGTTCTCCATCAGCTTTACAGCAAGGCCAGCTCAGTACAGGTGACAGTGAGGGGCTCTCAGCAAAGCTGGTGGGACAGAACACCTGAAAGGGCAGCGAGGGGAGGGAAATCCACTGGAGAGGCTGACTGCCTTCCACTGCTTTTCCTTTTCTGAGCTGGTTCTTAAGTCACCTGGATTTCTTTCCTAAAACCTTCTAACCCTCTTATCCAGAGCCATGGAGGGTGTCAATCCCTGGGAGAGAGGCTTTGCTGTCAGTCTCAATCACCTTGCTGTCCTCCCTTGGATGCCGTGGTGCCTGACTGTGTGGAATGCCACAGGCACTGCCATGCAGAGCCCAGGGCTCCTGGCACAGGTGGTGGCAGCAGCCTGGCAGGACACAGCCCTGCTCCTGAGGTGGGAGCAGAGCTGAGCAGTAGCCTCGTGCCTGTCCTTAGCCAGCCCTCCTGTGTGGTGTCAGCATGCTCTGTGTGTGCACACTCCTGGTCTATCTACTAACGTGGATTCCAGCCACAAGTTCTTCTGTCTGTTTTTGTCTGTATTTTTTTTGTTCAATAAGGTTGACTGCCTTCAGCCAGTGGCAAAAGAGGAGCCTCCTCCACCAGCCACCAAATTCCAGTCCATCGGGGTACAGGTAGAGGACGAGTGGCGGTAAGTGAGACGCAACTTGTGCAGTTTCCTTTTCTTTTAAATGGTGCCTCCCCCACTTGTGCTTAGGCCTTCTGCCCTGCTTTGTGCCAGTGAGTGGTGTTGAATGGGGCCCACGGATAACTCTTCCTCCACAGTGCACACCCGCTGCAAAAAGCATTAAAGCATTTGTTCTCTAACAGCCAAATCAATGGGAGGTTGAAATTAAATCAAAAATTAAAAAATTCCGGGCTGTAATTATAGTCATGCGTCAGCCTCTCGTCTGAACGGCCGGCTGCAGTAAGCAGGCAACCTTGTAATTGTGAGTGTGTGTGAGGAGGGGCAGGGGGGGCTCTGCTGTGCCCATGGATTTTGCTGTCGGTGTGGAAGGCCAGCCAGGCTGAGCCCTATTGAACGATGGCTTTTGATCCCTGCAGAAACAGCCACTCTCGCAGCATGTCCTCCAAACAGGACACAGACTCTGACACACAGGAGCCCAATAACTCCAGCTGTAAATCATCTGAGAGAAGCCTCGCTGAGTGCCCCCAGCACAACAACTCTGTTGGTGTTGATGCCTCCACCAGGCAACCAGCCAAGCCCTCACAGATTAAGAGAAACCTCTCCTATGGAGAAAACAACGACCCGGCCCTGGAGCCTTCTTCTCTCCCTCCTCCTGACCCCTGGCTCGAGAGCTCCTCCACGTCGCCGTCGGAGCCGGCGCAGGCGGGGCCCTGCCGGCGGGACGGCTTCTGGTTCCTGAAGCTGCTGCAGGCAGAGACTGAGCGCCTGGAGGGCTGGTGCCGCCAGATGGACCAGGAGACCAAAGAGAACAATCTCTCTGAGGAAGGTGGGTGGGGAACCCGCCCAGCAGCTCCTCCCTCAAGAAGGAGTTGGAGCTGAGGATTGGGTCGGTTAAATTGTGGCTGGCCCATCCCTGAAAGTGTCCGAGGCCAGGTTGGACAGGGCTTGGAGCAGCCTCGTCTAGTGAAAGGTGTCCCTGCCCATGGAATGAGATGAGCTCTAAGGTCCCTTCCCTCCCAAACCATTCTGTGAAATTGCTGACAGCCCACAGAGCCAGAGCATGGAGATGAGGATGAGATGAGGAATGCTTTTTCCTTGGAAAGGGTAATGTAGTTCCTGTAGCAAATGGAGTACAACATAATGCTGTGATGCAGCATGAAAGATGTACAGGGCATGGTGTGACTTCTGACCACTCAAAACTGCTAAAAGCTTAAATTGGTTTAATCTTAAAAAAGGTCAAATGGAAAAAGCTTTTAGGGAGGCTGTGGGATATCTCCCTGCCTCACCCATTACCCTCAAACAGGCAGGGGAGACCTTAGCTGGCAGTGGGGCAGAAGGAACACAACTCTGGAGCTTGTTTGCTCAGTTCAGTTGGTGAACTGGTCTTTTAAAGCAAAGAAGAGGTTTCCTCACATGGGAAAGCATCACTGAATTTGTGCTGGGTACACCAAAAGCATGGAACAGGGAGCAAGAGGCCAGTTGATTTTATGGGGTTCAGTCCCAGCTAGGCTTGTTCCTCTATTTTCAAATGCCTTGGCAAAACCCCTGGGCTTTTTGCAGTGGGAATCACGCCTCTGGTGCATACAGAGTGACAGGAGTGGGAGTCAAGGCTGCAAAAGGCAGGGTCTTTGTGTGGAGCCTGGTTTTGATGTTTCTAAAACCTGAGAAAGGTGAAACAAAGGTGAGGCTCAGTTTTAGCTCACTGTCACTGCTGGGTATCCAGGAGCTAATCCCTAATCTGATTCCCTGAGGTGCTGCCTGGCAGGGAATCTCCCTGCCTTGGGGCTGGCCTGGCTTGACCTGTGGCAAGGAAAGACAGCGAGACCTGCATGGCATTGTTCTGTGTGCCAGGAGCAGTGGAAAGACAGCAAGACCTGCATGGCATTGTTCTGTGTGCCAGGAGCAGGCTGCTTGGTTGTGTAACCACAGCCCTGGTGGGTGGGAGAGCCCAGGGTGTGCTCATCCAGCCAGGATCTGCTGAGCAGGCTCAGGGCAGCAGCAGAGCAGGAGCAGGACTCAGTGGTCCCTGTTGGTGATGCAGCTTGCAGGCTTGGGACTCTGAACCTGCCTCTGGGAGGGAAAAGCCCAGGCTGTATTTTCTCTAATGAGCAGAGGAATGTGTCCATGCCCAGAGGCTGCTTGGAAAACCCATTAAGAGCAGCATAAAGTCCTGAGTGTTAAAAGTCCTGGCCTGGGTGTTAATCCCTGCTGGTACAGGGAGGCTGGAGAGTGGTCCCTGTGTCACCTTTGTCACCTTTCCCCTGGGCAGGGCTGGGAGAGCAGGCTGGGATCTCTAAGCAGGTGCCAGCAGACTTTGCTGAGGTGGTGCTGGTGGTTCTCTGAGGGGCTGAGGGCAGTTTGAGGAGCTCCCTGCCAGCTTGGATATTGTAATGTCCTCAGCCAGGTCTGTGTTTGGCCTGCCAGAAGGAGCAATGGCAGACAAATGTAGTTGCAAATGTAGTTCGTGAGAGCAGTTGGTGCCTTGAGGATCTCTGAAATTCCTTTTCTGATGACTCCAGTGTTTGCTCCAGAAATGCTGGAGCTCATTGCTACAATTAATAGTCTATTCAATTCAGGTCTTTTTATTTCCTCTTTTTTTTTTTTTTTTTTTTGTCCCTCACAGTCTTAGGAAAAGTCCTGAGTGCAGTGGGCAGTGCACAGTTACTAATGTCACAGAAGTTCCAGCAATTCCATGGCCTCTGTGAGCAAAACTTGGTGAGTCTGGATCTCTTTTCCTGGTTTCTGAGAGGATGCCTCTCTTTGAACAGCACAACAAGGACTTGGTCAGTGTTAACAGGCTGCAGTCCCTGTGAAAACAAAGCCACAGCCTGCAGTGCCAGCTGGGGGAAGGCTGGGTTAGCACAGAGGGGCCTCCTGCTTCTGAAGGGCTTTTTGAGGCAAACCCCTGAGGCTGGGCTGGATAGGGGGGCCTGTTTGAAAGGTCTGCTCTTGACCACACATGCTCCCTTTGCGTGTGTGGCTGGTGACACTGTCCCCAGGCCACTGGAATTGATCTCTGAAAGGGAATGCAGGGCTTTGCCCTTGCTCAGAGCTGACCTGGCTAATGGGGATTGATGGAATCTGTGGTTTAGTTTTCCCCTCAAGCTTTATGGTAATATGGATTTTGCAAACTTCCTCAGGGGTGAATTCCTCTTTAGATGTAAAATAATCTTGGAGAGACTTAAGGAGCAGGAGGGGGTATAGTGCTGATCCCAGCTGAGCAGCAGCACCAGCAGAGCTTTCTATGAGCTGCTTGGATCTGATCCCATGCTTTCCAGGGTCTGTGGTGGTGGTTCAGCTGTCTGGGAACTGGGAAAATTCTATTCTTGGAAGAAACTTAAGCTACTTAAAACTTTTCAACTCAGCCTGAGAAGTACTGATGCTTTCAGGTTGTTTTGGGCAGAAATGTAGCAAAATTATTTTGCTCATGAAAGCTCAGTTTGGCTCCTTAGAGTGCTGCACATCCAGGCATCAGAGCTGGGTATCCATTTCCATTATTCCCCCCCTGAAATGGCAGTCTCTGTGTAAGAAGACAGCATTGTCACTCTGATTGCCACGCTGGGCACCTACTGTTGGAGGTTCCTGCTGTGGGGTTAGTGCCAGCACTGGGTGTCTGGTTCAGGATTACTCTGCTGTAAGGAGGAGTGCTTACAAGGAGTCAGGACTTGCCTCCTGAGCTTGGCAGAAATTATTTGGGCTGTAAATGATGGCTTTGTGTGTCCATGCTCAGGGCCGCTGTCTCCTGTGGCTTCTCACTGAGTTTGGCTGCAGGCAGACATAAAAGGGGTGAAGGTGCTATTCATGCTGCTCTGCTGGGTGTATTCTCTCTGAAATGGGGTTTTTAATGCTTCTCCCTTTCTAGAACCCTAATGCCAATCCCAGACCCACAGCCCAGGACTTGGCTGGATTTTGGGATCTCCTCCAGCTGTCCATTGAAGACATCAGCATGAAGTTTGACGAGCTGTACCACCTCAAAGCTAATAGCTGGCAATTGGCAGAGACACCGGAGAGAAAGGTGAGTGAGGGGCACTGGGGAGTGGCCACAGCACCTTGTTGTACACATTTGCGGTACCTGAGGTCTGGTTTTGTCTGCAAACAGATGCTCCCAAGGGCTTTTGCCATCCTGCACTGGTCATCTCACTGCCTTGTAAGGCGCCAAGGCCATTCCTCTTGAGTAATAGTGGGAACAGTTTTGTGCAAGGGGAAAAGGTGTTGGATGGAGAGAGCCCAGAGTGGTGGGCAGTGGTGCAGGGGCCTCAACTATTCCTAGCACTGTGTAGATGGATTTAACTATCCCTTGTGCCCAAGTAATGTGAAAAACAAGTTGAACCTTTGAAAAATGCAGGAGAGATGAGGTCCTGGCTCTGCCAGTAAGGGTAGGGAGGACTGTGACTCAGGGCACGGTGGCTTATTAAAATTTTGTAGTTCCACGTGAAGTTGTGTCTACGTGCTGCCTGTGCTGTGCTCTGAGCTGCAGCTGAACCAGACAATTTCTGAACTCCAGGCCATTCCAGAAGAATCCTGTACCATGGAAGCTGCATGGAGGGGAGGGTTAGGCTGGATAACAGGAAAAGATTCTCCCCCAGAGGGTGCTGGGCAGTGCCCAGGCTCCCCGGGGAATGGGCACGGCCCCGAGGTTGCCAGAGCTCCAGGAGTGTTTGGACACTGCTCTCAGGCACAGGGTGTCTGTCCTGCAGGTGTCCATGCAGGGGTTGGACTTGATCATCCTGGTTGTGGATCGTCAGCCCCTGGATTGTGGACTTCCATCCCAGGAAATGTCCAAGGTCAGGTTGGACAGGGTCTAGAGGAAGGTGTCCCTGCCATGGCAGGGGGTGGAACTGAGTGATCTTCCAACCCAGACCATTCTGTGATTCCATGATTGTTGTGGGTCCCTTCCCATGCAGGACATTTTGTGATTCTGTGAAATGCAAAATGGCTCCTTATAGAAACAGGGGCAGTTGATTTGAGGGGTGTCTAGCTGCAGAGCTGCTCTCCCCAGCACCATCCCAGTCCCTCCAGGGCTGAGCCGGCGCCCAGCCGCGCACATCTGTATCAGTTGTGGGTTTTTCCTTACTGTCTCCCTAAAGGAAGAGAAGAAGCCACCCCCTCCAGTGCCAAAGAAGCCAGCCAAGTCCAAATCGCAGCTGAGCCGGGACAAAGGCTCCGACTCGGACAAGCAGCGGCAGGAGGCACGGAAGCGGCTGATGGCGGCCAAGCGCGCGGCCTCCGTGCGGCAGAACTCGGCCACCGAGAGCGCCGACAGCATCGAGATCTACGTCCCCGAGGCCCAGACCCGCCTCTGAGCCCAGCCACGGCCAGCCCGCGGCTTTTATAAGTCATTAAATGGGAAAAAAAAGGTTCTCTCGAAACTAGTGTGATTTATTCAGTCTACAGACAATGAGCCATCCTTGAAAAGGGCTCCTGAGTTGGCTTTTTTCTCTCTCAGCTTTAAGTAATGAAGATTTTAACAAAAAAAAAATACAAACAAAAAAAATTAAAAAAAAAAGAAAAAATGCCCCTCGTTTTCTCCCCAGCTGTGGTGTTGCTGAATGGACTGGACAGACTCCTGGGAACTCCAGCCCCTCGACTTGGAACTTCAGTCTTTTTACTTGTTCTATCTCATGAGAATTATTAGCTTGTTTACAAGAAGAGGACAAGAAAACATGAAGCCTTGAGCACTTGCCACGCTGTGTTCTTCCTCCTCCTCAGATCTGTTCTGCCCTTCTCATCCTTTATTTTTCCCTCCTCCTGCTCCCGTTCTCCCACCCTTTGCATGGTTTCGGTTCCCGTGTCCGGACCCCCCTGTCCCCGCAGAGAACACCTGTGGTGTGTCATTCCTGCTGCCCTCTCCAGCCAGCAGCCTGCTGGGCTTTGTGTTCTTGGGAGGGGGATGCTGGGGTGGGGGAGGCTGGGCACAGGGGGCCCTATCTTCAGCTTGTTGGAGGGAGAGGACGCCGGGGCTGTGGAATGTGGGGTTGAAATGCAGCCCAGAAGCAAAATGTGCAATAAACCTGGCGCAGGGGACCCCGAGAGCCGGAACCCGCTCCGGGCCGGAGCTGAAGGAGCACAGAGCACGAGCACATCACTATGGTTTCCCTCCTCTTCCCATTCCCACACCGTTGTCCTTGGCTGGCTGGTGGAGAGAGGAGCTGCTGCAGCGGGGGCTGTGGGGTCAGCGTGTCCAGGAGGAGACAGGAGGGTGTACATATGCACATATACACTTAGTAGTACCTGTATAGTAATTCCTACACACGGATCCTGCCCACGCCACCGCGGGGGTGGGCAGATGTATAGCATATATTTTTACATGTACTATATCTAGATGTGTGTCCAAGTGTGTGTAAAAATATATACCCTGTGTGTAAGCAGATGACTATTTTTTCCTTATCTCCCTGCTCTCTGGGTAGAGGAAGGATTGCTAAATATTTTTTAGCCCATTTTTTCTTCCCCTTTGTAGGTCTCCTTTCCGGTCTGGCTCCTCAGAGCCAGAGCTGCCACCCCCTGATTCTTTGCCACCCTCTCACACAGAAGGTTTTTGTCCCATCCTGAGGGATCTTGCTGGGGATTTTTTTTTTTTCCTCTTCACACGTTTGAACAAGTTGGGAGATTGTGTGCTACTGTCATGGGGGTGGAGGTGGAATCCCAGTGGTTTCAGTGAGAGTGTTGGTGATCCAGAAGGCAAAAAATAAATAAAAGTGAAATCCTGAACGATGCCTGCTGCCCATTGTGTGCTGTCTGGGGCTGTCCATGAACACTGCTCTGAGGTCTCTGCCCCAGCCATAGAATTCCCAAAGCTTGGCTGTGCTGGGATTCAAATTGGGCTGGAGTTGGGGATGAGGCTCTGCTCTCAGGGGACAAGTGCAAGCAGCCTCAGGTTGCTCCAGGGGAGGTTTACATTGGATACTGAGGGAAAGTCCTTCATGGAAAATGTGGTCAGGGCTGCCCAGGGCAGGGGGAGAGTCCCGAGCCCTGGGGGTGTTGGAAGGGTCTGTGCAGGTGGCACCTGGTGGTGCGTGGGCATGGCAGGGTTTGGCAGCAGCTGGGACTCCTCTTGGAGGCCTTTCTCAAACCTAAAGATTCTGTGGGGGCAGAGACTTTGTTGGGTTGCACTATCGGGTTTTGGGGCGGATGCAGCTTTAGGAATCACTGGCAGAGAAACAGAACACCAAGGAGATGTGGGAGTTCATTTATTTATTTTATCATTTACTCTTCCCTGCTGCTGTTCATGGAGTGGTCAAGCTCTCCTTGCTGCCCCGGGCTGGGCTTGCTCGTAATATTTATGTTCTTATATAATATGGATTTGTGTGTATATATATATATATATATATATGTGCATATATTTTAACATGTAAGTGAATTTATAAAGATGCAAAAATTAATTAATTTTAATATGGTTTTGTATCTTATAATTAATACAATACTTTAAATTCCTCTACATGTATTAAAATGCATACACAAATACAGAGGTAGAGTTACATACTTCTATATGCATATACATATAAATATGTGTAAGACGTGTACAAAAACGTGTTATACGTATTTAGACACACCTCTTATAACTCTGAGAATTATTTGTTGCAGATATTTAACACCCCTTTTATAAATAATTTCATGCCTACTCCTTGAATCCACCTGTTTTGAGCCCTAAGGACAGGTGCAGCCAATCACGGGGCTGCCTAAGATCACGTGGGGATGGTGGTGTCACGAGATGGCTGCCTGCCAATCACAGCACGGTGTGACGTTTAACAAAATGGCTGCGCCCTCCCATAAGATGGCGGGTGAAACAAAATGGCCGCCCCCAGTGGATACAAGGGGTGAGGCCGTGTGTCACAGTACTTCCGGGCCCTATCAACCAATCACAGCACAGAACGTAGTGCTGCGGCGAATGGCCGTGAGGCTGCTGGGAGGGGCGGGGCTCGAGGGGGCGGTGGGCGTGGTCTCCTCTTGTTCCGTGCCGTGCTCGGGTAGGAGGGCGTCGTGCCCGCCTGTGTCCCTCTTCGTGTCTGGGATCCGTGTCCCTGTCCCGTGTCTCTGTCCGCTGTCCGTGTCCGTGTCCCCGTCTCGGCCGGGCGCTGCAGCCCCGCGCTCTCCGGCTCCTGGAGCCGCTCTCGGCTCTTCCCGCGGCTTCCCCGGGCCCAGCCCCTGCCGCGCGGGGCCCGTTCTCTGGGAATCTCCAGGAATGCCCCGTGGCGCCGGCTCGGCTCGCTCTGCCCGGCTCGGCTCGGTCCCCGCCCGGAGCGGGACAGCGCCTGTCCCCGGGGCCACCCCAGGACGGCTCCCGGCTCCGTCCATGCGCGGGGATCGCGCTGCCTCCGGCACAACCGCGGGGCTGGGGACCCTCGGGGGTGCACAGCGGTCCCGGGACCCTCGGGGGTGCACAGCGGTCCCCGCTTCCTGCGCTGTTCTGGGCACAGCCCCGGCCCAGCCATGGGGGAGCACTGCCAGGGAGGGTCCCGGAGCCTCACCCACTTTTTGGGAGTTTTGGGGCAGGACTGGCAGTGGTGGAGTAGTTGGAGAAGTGGGAAAGGCTGGGAGAGCTGAGAGTGTTCAGCCTGGAGAAGGGAACACTCTGCGGAGACCTCAGAGACCTTTCTTGGGCCTAAAGGAGCTCCAGGAGAGCTGGAGGGGGACTTGGGACAAGGGATGGGAATGGCTTCACATTATCAGAGATCAAGGATATTGGGAAGAAATTCCTCCCTGTGCGGATGGGGAGGCCCTGGCACAGGTTACCCAGAGAAGATGTGGCTGCTCCATCCCTAGAAGAATCAAAGGCCAGGCTGGACAGGGCTTGGAGCACCCTGGGATAGTGGAAAAGCTGTCCCTGCCCATGGCAGGGGGCTGTGCCTAAATGGTCTTTACAGTCTTTCCAACCCAAACCACCGTGGGAAGTATGAGAGTGTCACATGAATGGGGCTGTTGTGTGTGCCTGGGTCAGAGCCCGGGGCCTGGGGGGCTGCAGGGCTGGGGGCCCTCCTGGAGGACCCTCCCAGCCCCAGCTGCTGCCCGGGGAGGTGGTGCAGGTCAGAGCGGTTCCTCCCCCTGTGCCCCATGCTGTCCCTCAGCACCTCCACCCAGCTCACTGGCCCCGAGCCCCCGGGAGCTGCTGCTCTCTGCTGGAGCTGCCTGGGGGTCCCCAGGCCCTGCCGGAGGCGCAGAGCCCCGCGTGCAGCTCAGGAACCACGAGGTCTGCCTGGGGCCACAGGAGGGGCAGCAGAGCTGTGGTGTCCCCAGCTGTGACCCCCTGTCACAGTGCAGACCCCTGAGCTGGGCTGGCAGATCCTGCCCTGGCTCCAGCTCCCCACTCCCCATGGGAATGTGCCCCATCCCACATCTCTCACCCCGAGCACAAAGCCCATGGACAGTGGGGGACACCTGGGTACTGTTCCAGGGTGGCCCAGGGGTTTATCTGGGGGTGGAGAACCAGGTGAGGCACCCACAAAATGACAAATCTCGCTCCAACACACAGCTCATATTTAAAAATAACAACCAAAACTAAAAAAACTTTTATTTGACAATAGAAAAAAAAAACCCAAAAAGATATTTACAGTAGTTTGTTATTTCTCCATAAATTTAATTCCAATAACTCCTGCCTCTGGTCCGTCCCAGGGCAGCAGCACCAGCCCCTGGCACAGGCACTGCTCGGGAGAAGGAAACCACTTGGGTTTGACTGGGGCAAGCGAGCAGGAGGCCAAAGAGCCTCTCCCTCCCCCAGGACAAGGGACAGAGCTGCAGGGGGGTGACGAGGTGAGAGTCCCAAAGCGGAGGACTTTCCCTGGGGAGGAGACAAAGGGCAAACGAAGGCTGGACATAGAAATGGAGGTGGGGGTGACAGGCACACGATGGGCACCCACCCACCCTGGTGTCCCCCAGCACTGCACAGGGCACCTGCCCAGGTGATGCTGTTGGGAAACCTTCCCACAGCAGCCCCTCCCTGGCACTCTGAAGAAATTGGGGGTGGGAACACACCAGTCCCCCAAATCAGTGCTTTTCCCTTCCAGCCCTGTCCCCTCCAGTGCTCTCCCCCTGCCCCGCAGAGCTCCCAGTCCTGCGGCTTTACCCCCTCCAGCCATCGCCTCATCTGGCTCGGTGATTACCGAGGGGATTGGCGCTGCCATGGCCAGGGTACGGTCACTGAACAACCCACAGGGCCCGGCACAGCGCCCGGGGACAGCGAGCGACACCCAGCCAGGAGCTGCCCCGGAGCCCCTCAGGCCCGGCCATCCCAGCTCACGCCAGTTTGTCACTAGAGGTCCCCAGCACCGCACAGCCACGCTGCGAGGGGAGGGGACAAGGAGCGACATCTCCATCCTCCGCCCGCCCCGCGCTGCCTCCCAGGAGCCCCGCGCTGCACTTGCAGGACGCACATGGCCGTGCCCGCACCACGCCTCCTTCCAAAGGTTTTATGGAAAAAAAAAAAAAAAAAAAAATATAAAAGGAAATGAAATCGGGTACAAAATTCACAGTCTCAGCTCTGCCCGGGCTTGGCCCCGCTCTCACTGCTCCGGGCACAGCGGGCACACATTCGGCATGAACTCGAGGGGAGCGCGGGGAGGGTGTGGAAATGCTTACAGATTTAAAAAAAAAAAAAAAAAAAAAGTAATAATCATGGAATAAATCACAATTAAAGGGAAAATGTTTCAACAAAAAACTTGCTAAACAGCACCATAGAGATTTCTACTGGCAGCATCCAGAACAACCTAAAAAGGAAGAGGAGGGTCCTATTTTTTCCATGATAAAATGCCACAGACTCCATGTTTCCAGTTCATCTGTCCTTTGCCCTTCCCTGGGCAAGGCAGGCCCCCTGGCCAGCACCGGGAAACAAAAAAAACCCCAAAAACAAAAGGGGCGCCAGGGGGGAAGGGTGGCAGGGAGAAAGGATCAGAGATATGGGAGACAAAGCTCTTCAGCCACAGTCCTTACACTGGCATTAAAAAGCCAGGTTCTCTCTGTCTCCCTGAAGAAACGGTGCTGGCTGGACCCTCGTTTGCAGGAGAGGAGGAGATCAGCAGGTTTTCCAGGGGAGCTCCCGTGCCCACTCCGGCCGTGCGGCAGGGACAGGGCACTGCCAGCGCTGGGCTTGGGCACACACCGGGGCACCGTGCTCGGCAGCCGGGGCATCTCCGGGGAGGATGGCGGGGTGGGACCGGCCTTCCTCTGCCGCCTCGGCTGCCGAGAGACACCGGAGCCCCCGGGGGCAGGAGCCGCTCCTGGATGGGCCATGGGGGTGAGGGAGGGTCGGAGCCCCGGGAAGGGCACCCTGCGGGACCCGGCCCGGGGCTATTTGGAGGCTCCCGGGGGCTCGGCGTGCGGAGCCAGGGGCAGCTGCCCCCCCTGCCGCTGCCGCTCCAGCTCGGCCGCCTTCTGCAGGGCCACCTCCACCAGCAGCTGGAAGCTGCTGAAGTCGTCCCCGAAGAGCTCGGGGGGCGTGGGGGGCGGCGTGTTGAAGAGTCCGGGTGTGGGGCTGCCCGCCTCGGCCCGCGCCAGCAGGGTCAGGGTGCTGCTGCCGGGGCCCGCCCTGGCCTCGGGCCCGGGGGGCTTCTCCCACTCGGGGCTGTGGGCGCTCACCATGGCCAGCGCCCGCGCCGGCTGGCACAGTACCTGCGGGCACACCGACATCGACAGCACCTTGGAGGCGCCCGCGGGAGGCACCACGAGCACCCCGGGGCCGGCGGCAGCGCCCCGCGGCACAGCCGCGTCGCCGGCTTTGCCCCCGCGGCGGGAGATGGTGAACTGGTTGGGGTCCTTGCCGTCCTTGCGCAGCATGTCGGGGAGCAGCCGCCGCCGCGCGTTGATGAACCAGTTACAGATCTGCGGGGAGAGAGGGCGCGGCGGGGTCAGCCGGGGGTGCAGCCCCGGCTCAGAGCAGCAGCAGCTCCTCCAGAGCAGGCGAGCGGCTCCCACACGGCCGGACTCCCACAGGTCCCCCTCAGCCCTGCACCCCCTTCCCGTGCGGCTCCGGAGAGGCACAGCTAGCGCTGGCACCCACGGAAACCCCAGCACCGGCTGCTTCCTGCCCGGCACCGCCTGCCCGGGGCAGCCCCTTCCTCCCCGGCCCTGCCAGCGCCCCTCGGGCCCGTGCCCGCGGCTCCTGCTCTCCATCGCAGCCCAGGACGGGCACAGCCCGCGCTGCCTCGGGCCGAGCCGCCCCCAGGCACAGCAGCCGTGCCCGGGGCCCCGGGAGCTGGGGCGGTTCTCAGCAGAGCTGCCCCCGGGGCAGGAGGGGCTCAGTGCTGTGCCACAGGCCCCGGCTGCAGGCACAGCACAGCTCCTGCCATGCCCCAGCCAGAGCCCAGGGCATTGCACAGAGCCAGCCCAGAGCCCATCCTGCAGGTCCCCAACCTGGGGACAGGCTTTCCTTCTCCAGGTGACCCATCCTGGAGCTCAGCCCTGTTTCCACACTGCTGCCAACCCAAACAGGAGCACCGAGGCTGCCAGAGCAGATGGATGGCAGGAGAGCAGCACAGATGGAAAACCCTAGAAGCCATCAGGTGATGGAGCTGCAGCTCCTCAGCCCCTAACAGGGCCGGGGATGGGACAGCAGAGACACCTTCCTGTGCCTCTGCCCACGAGCAGGGTCACAACTCATGCTAAAGGCTCTCCCAAACTGCACAGCATGGAGGCTGCACGTCTGGCAGCCCTTTGCCATTATTGAGCCCTGGCCATGAATTGTTTCAGCATCTTTATATAAAATGCTGCATTTAAATAACTGCCTTCTTCCTAGAAAACAATTAGAAGAGAATAAATCAAGGGGAAAAAAAAAAGTCTGATCTTTCCTAAATCAACAGCTATGGAAAATATTTCCCCCAAGGAGAGAGAACTTGCCACAACTTCAACCACAGCAAGATCTCAGTTGTCGTTTTTTTCTTTATGACAATATTTGGCATTAAAACTCTCAAACACACCAGTCTTACTCCCTTTTCTCTTCCAAACCCCCTCCCTTGCAGGCCTAGGCTGGGTCCCCTTGACACTATCCTGGCCATCCACCACTGTGATCCCCAGCTAGAGAGATCCCATCGAAAAGCCCAACTCCTCAGGGCTGAGAACCCCCAAAATCCAGCCTGTCCCCACCACCATGCTCCTTCCAGCATTCAATTCCCATTGGAGAATGGGGCACAGAGATGGGGACACACAGCCACTGTGACAGCAGGCACTGTCACAGAGCTGGGACACGCTCTGGCTCTGAAGCAGTTTACTGGGTTCAGTCCGTCCCTTTTCCTCCCACCAGCACACCCTGCTCTGTCCCTTTGGGCAGTATCTGTCCCCTGCACTGTGAGAGCAGCATCTCCTCCACAGGGAGGAAAAGCCCATCCAGGGCACAGGCTGGGAAAGCTGCTGCTGTCCAGGAAGCCTCAGTGGGAGCAGGTGCCACTTTCCTAGTGCTGGAATTCCTGCAAGGGAGGCACAGGGCTTCCTGCTCCCCCTGATCCCTGGCTGCCGTGCACAGCTCCAGCTCCCCAGGCCATGGAGCAGCCAGGTGGGGGCACAAAGAAACAGCTGGGGGGGGTTGGCCGGTGGCTGTGGCAGAGCCCTGCATTCCAGAGGATTTTTGGAGGGGCCAGATCAGCATCACAGACTGAACCCCACAGCCAGACCATGGGGTGTCCCACACCTCCCCCAGCAGGCAGAGAGAACCCCAGGGGTTCCTGCTGCAGCCCCTCAGGCTGGCACTGGGGATGCCCTCGGGCTGGGACCCCCTGCACAGCGGGTACAGGGGGCACACGCTGGCTCTGGGGTCACCTGGGGCAAACAGCAGCTGGCACACAGCAGGGCCACATCTCAACAGAGCCCACCCGTGTGCCAACCCCTGCCGGGTCCCACGGGGCTCAGGCACCGAGAGCCGGGCACCTGCCAGTGCCCCCGAGGCCTGGGGCAGCCCCCGTGTGCCAGGCACTGCCAGGCCAACCCGGGCCAGCACCAGCCCAGCTCCCACAGGCCAGGCCTGTCCCTGCTCCCCTGACTCAGCCTCAAGCCCAGCCAGGGGCTCCAGGCTGTCCCCGAGCAGCTGCTGGACACGGCTCTGTGGCACAGCCAGCACTCACAGAAACACACTAAAGTGAAAGAGCAGGTTTGCCCTGCTGCCCAGGGAGAGGGCAAGCAGACAGCCCTGCCCATGCTCTGTGTCTGGGCTGGGACAGCTGGCCAGGACTGTGCTGAGCCACGGGGAGAGGAGCCAGAGGTACAGAGGAAGCTCCAGGAGAGGAGCAAACCCACCAGCCCCTGCCTTCTGCCTGCACCCCACACCCTGTCAGGTTGGGAGAGGGGGATGGGGCCCAGGGCACCAGGCCTGAGCACGGAGCACAGGGCCAGCAGCTGGGCAGGCCCTCCCAGCCACCCCAAACACAGCAGGGACCACACCAGAGTGGGAAGGACAAATGCTGCTCACCCCCACTGCTGCCCAGGGCTCCTGCCTGGGCACCCACCCTGGTGCCATATGGAGAACATCAGCCCACAGCTGGGAGCAGGACAGGGAGACTCCTGGACAAGGCTCCCCTTTAATGCAGCTGGTGTAACTGGGACCAGGTGGACCAGCCAGCCCAGGGCACTCCAAGCACAGCCCAGCCTCTCCCTTCTGGCTAAAATCACAGAATATCCTCAGCTGGAAGGGAACGACAGAGATCATCAAGTCCAAGTCCTGGCCTTGCCCACTCCAGGGCTGTTCTCTGCCCAGCTCTGTGTGCAGGGGGTGCTCATCCTGCTGGGGGTGTCCAGGGGAACCGGATAAAGAGGCATCCCCCAAACCCCTCCCACCTGTGCAGCTTTTACTGACAACATCCAGCCTGTCCCCACTCCAGTCCCTCCACCTTCCACCTCCAGCAGAGCTGGTCCCCAGTGCTCAGACCTCTCCCACGAAAGAGCCTCCCTTCACACAGGTGCCTTTCCTTCCCAAACATCCCTTCCCTTGCTTCCTTTCTGCCCTGCCCGTGGTGAATGATCCCAGCCTGCCCAGACCTTTGGGATCCTCGGTAGGGTTCTCCTGTCCCACACCGCATGGCAGTGTCCCCAGCAGTGTCCCCAGACCGCATGGCAGTGTCCCCAGCATGGCAGTGTCCCCAGCGATGTCCCCAGCGGGTGGGGCCGGCTCCTACCTGCAGCACGGAGAGGCTGGTCTGCCCCGAGAGGCTGAGCTTCTCCTGCTCCGAGGGGTAGGCGTTGAAGCGGTGCTCGTACAGCCAGTCCCGCAGGATCTTCACCGACTCCTTGGGGAGGTTGCCCCTTCTCTTCCTCTTGCACTGCGAGGGGTCGGGGGATGTGGCGCCGTCCTCGTCCCCCGGGTCACTGTCCGACATGGTGGAGCTGCCCGCGGGACCCCCCTGGCTGAAGCCTGGCGAGGGGAACCAAAGGGAGCTTCAGGCGGTGTCCGGTCGGGGGAGGGGAAGGGGCCTCCCACCGACCTCCCCCCGCCTCCAGCGGGGGTCTCACCCCCTCCGGGCCCGCCTGAGGGGGAATCCCGAGGCAGAGACCCCCGGGGGCGGGACACAAACAACCGGCACCGGCGGGACAACGGGGGCACCGAACAGAGCCCCGGGGGTGCGGGGGATCTCAGCGCACGCACAGGGCTCGGGGGCACTCGGGCTTCGGGGGGCACCGCAACGGGGAGAAAAAAAAAATCAAGCGTGGGGTAGGGTGGAGGAGGGGAAGTTAAAAACAAAAACAATCTCAGCAGGAGAAAGAGGCCGGAGCTGGAGAGTGGGAGAGGAACCACGCGGGGTCATTGTGCGGCGGGGATGGAGGCGGGGGCGGCTGTCACGGGCCGGGGGCTCGGCGGAGCGGGACTCTGAGGCCGGGCCCCGCCGCCCCTCCGGCCGCAACAGGCGGTGAGGGGCCGGGGCCGCCCACACAAAGCGGGGCAGCGGCGGCCGCGGCCCCCCCGGGCGGCGGGGGCACAGAGGGGCCGGAGAGCGGCCGGGGAGCGGCCCCCGCGCTCCGCCGCCGGCCCCGAGTCGTCCCCGGGCGGGCAAACTCCGCCGTGACTCCGAGCGGCGGCGGGGCCGGGCGGGACCCCCGGCCGCAGCTCCCGCAAACTTCGGGAAGCGCCGGCGCGGCCCGTCCCGCTCCGTCCCGCACAAAGGCGCGGGGCCGCCCCGCTCCCCCCGCGCCCCCCGGGATCCATCTTTGCTCTCACCCCCGGGCCGCCGCCGCCGCCTGGGCGCTCGCATGGGCCGCGCCGGGGTCTCGGTGCCGGGGCCGGTGCGGGGCCGTCCCGCGGCGGCGGGCGGGCAGCCGGGCGCGGCGGAAAGTTTTGGGTGGGCGGCGGTGACAGATGCCGAGACAGAGTTCCCTTTGTTCCCGAGGAGGCAGGAACTCGCCGGGCCCCCCGCCCCCGGCCCCGGCCCCGGCCCGCCCGCCCCCGGCTGTCACCGGGCACCGGGGCCCCCCCGCCCCGCCGAGCCCCCCCCCGCCCCGCCGAGCCCCGGCCGGTACCTGGCGCCGGCGCAGCCCCGGGCTCGGCCCCGCTGCCGGACACGGCCCCCGGCGGGAGGGGGCAGGGACAGAGGGAGCCCCGGAGCCCCCGCAGCCGCCCGGCCCCGCGGAGCTGCGCCCGCACGGGGGCCCAGCCACGGCACCCACGTGGGGACAGCCAAGCCTGGGGACACCCAGCAGGGACACCCACTTTGGAACTCCCACCCAGGGACACCCACGCAGGGGTGCCCCACAAGGCACTGCACAAGTTCCTTCCCCTGGCTGAATGCTGTAACTGGGCCCCAGGGGTCACCGGTGTCTGTGGGCAGGGGACAGGGACAAGGACAGGAGCTGCAGGGACAGGTGTGGGTGACGACCCTGGGGACCTCTGGGCACCTTGAAATTCCACCAGTGCCTCGCTTTTTCTTTACCAGATGGGAAATCAGAAGCCGAGCACATCACTGCTCCCATGACAGAGGAAGGTGTTTTTCAAGCAAAGGTGGTGACTGAGAAGGATCCAGGTGGAGCCCTTGCTTTGCCATGGCCACCAGGCTGGCCAAGGTCTCTGGAAGCCTTTCTGCTCTCCCTGTGCCTCTCCCTGACCACAGCAGAGCCCAGGTCACCTTTGGAGTTTTGGAGACCAAATTGCTCCGTTTATGTGCTGGTGGTCCAGGGTGTGATGAGCATGAGATTTCCCCAGCACAGCTGTGTGCCCCTGTGTGCTGTGGGGCTGGGTTGCATTGCCACCCCCTGCCAGGTGCTCCATGGAGCCCAAGGGGATGGGTCCATCAGGGGTCCCCTGGAGCGGCGCCTTCGTCAGTGGGAAGGAAGAAGAGAGAGGAGCTGCTCTGAGCAGTGGTGCCACATCCCAGCGCCTGTGATGGACAAAGAGCCACCATGGGAACCCTGTCCTGCAGCCAGCCCAGAGCCCCCTGTCCTGGGGGGCATCTCCTGGGGATGTCCTTTTTGGGATGTCCCTCCCCTGTCTTGGGCACAAGCACAGTGTGGGCACCCCCCAGGACCTGTGTGCTGCTGGGGCACAGCCCCCAAGCCTCACCAGGTCCTGCTCCACCTCTCCCCACCAACCCCTGGCTTGATGTCACCCTGCCCCAGGGGCAGCTCCCCTCCCTCCCCTCTTTGCTGCTTGCAGACTAAAAGATGGGAATCCCTTCATGTGTTGAATAAAAGCTACAAACCCCCTTTTTTTATGCACTATTTTTTGGTCTGAGAAGAGCAGGATATGTGGTGCAATAAGGGAAAAAGGAGAACTCCTTAAATCACTTATTTTGTTGCTTCTAAATCTTCCATGACCTGAGTGGAACTGTGTCCCAACCTGCTATGGCTGCATTAATGCCAAGGCAGCAGGGCTGGTGAAGCGCAGGTGGGTGTGGGGAGCCCTGGCAGCACCTCCCAGCCTGTGCAGGGTCCCCCCGGGCAGGGAGCACCCCCGGGCTGGTCCTGCCCGCTGTGAGCCACGGCCGGGAGGGATGGGCTCATCCTGCCCCTCTGCTCCCTCTGCAGCCGGGTCCGGGACCCCCCGACACCCCCGGACTGCCCGGGCTGGGTCAGTGCCCAAGCAGAACCGTCCTGAGCAGGCTGCTCGTGCTCCCACCTTTTGGGAAATGCTAGTTCAGTCTTCCACCGAATTGAGACAATCGGGACCCGGTCCCTGAGCTCAACCACCCCTCAGGCTGGGCCATGAGCCACCCCCGGGTCCCTCCACCTGCCTTTGCTCCCCAGACCGGTAGTGTGGAAGCAACTTTGGACAAATCCCATCGGGTGCCTGATGGGAGGAGCCCGAATCCCTGGGCAAGCCCAGCCTGGCATCCCAGAGAGCTCCCGGCTGATGGGGACTAGGGAGCCTCGGGGATGAGGGGCCAGGGAAGGGGCTGAGGTGCATCTCCCTGTCCTTCCCACTCCGAGCTTGTCCGTGCTGAGCCCTGCCCGGGCCCATTGACATGATAATACTGCTAAACTTCAGCAATTTGAACAACAATCAGCCAACGAGAGCCTGAGGGGGAATGCTGGAAACCCAGAGGGATTCTGGGAACCCCAGGGTGATGCTGGAAATCCCGGGGAAGCTGGAACTCCCAGGGGAAGCTGGAATTCCCAGGGGGATGCTGGAATCCCCAGCCAGCCTCCCAGGTATGGACACTTCCCAGAGCAGACTCTCTCCATCCTCTGCCCACTCTCTGATCTTCAATCTGCGTTTTTAGCAAGGCAAATTGGATTTGTGGTTGGCTGTGCTGGCTGTTTGCTGCCACCCTGCCCTTGGGGCCACTGCTCCAGCAGCAGGCCCTGCTCCCTACTCAGGGCCACTGGACCTGCTGCAGGCTGGGATTCCCCCAGCAGGAAAAACCCCTGGTCCTGGGAGCTGGGATGCAGCTGGAGCCCCTCTCCTGGGCACTGCAGCCCCTCCATCTCCTCCTGCCCCTTCCCACGGGGAAGCTCTGCTCTGATTCCTTCCTGGAGGCATAGGGCAGGACAGACCCTCTCAGCAGGCACTGCTGTACCCTCTTCCTCTCTGATGTTCTTCTAATCTACATCTCTGGACATGGCAAGAGGAGTGTGGGGACTGCAGTGAGCTCACAGCACTGCTGAGAGCACTGAGAAAAGCAAACATTGGGGTCAGGGGGTCCTGGGCTGCACTGGGAGCTGTGTCACAGCTGGCAGAGGGAGGGGATCCTTTCCCTCTGCTCCACACCAGTGAGGCCAGCCCTGGAGTGCTGGGCCCAGAGCTGGGCTGCCCAGGACGGGACACAGGGACAGACTGGACAGAGTCCAGCACAGGGCCATGAAGATGATGGAGGGACTGGAGCGTCTCTGCCATGAGCAGAGGCTGAGAGAGCTGGCCCTGCCCAGCCTGGAGCAGAGCAGGCTCAGGGCATCTCATCCCTGTGGATGAAAAGCCAGGGGGAGGCTGCAGAGGGAACAGGGCCAGGGACAGCCCCGGGGGCCTCGGGCACAAAGTGACCCACAGGAGGGGCCCTCCGAGCTCAGGAGACACTTCTGCACTGGGAGCAGCTCTGCAGCTCTTCTAGACTGACCAAAAGTTCACCTGACTTGGTGTCCCCCTGCCCCAAGTGAACATTTCTGAAATGAATGTCTTTATTTTGCTGCTATTTGATACCTTTGAAACAAGTCAGGTCAGGTCCAGCTGCTGCCTCTGCTGTTTCTGATGCAGCCCAAGGACAGGTGACTTCCTGGGCTGCCAGTGCCCATGGCCAGGTCACATCCAGTTTGTCACCAGCAGCACCTCCAAGTCCTTCTCCCAGGGCTGCTCCCCACCCAGCCAGCTCCAGCCTGTGCTGGTGCTGCCCTGACCCAGGTGCAGGACCTTGCCCTTGGCCTGGCTGAGCTCCATGAGGTTCACCTGTGCCCAGGTAGTTCTGGAGTTTCATACATTCATCAAATCCCAGAATGGTTTGGGTTGGAGGGGACCTTAAAGCTCGTCTCATTCCTCCCCCTGCCATGGGCAGGGACACCTTCCCTATGCCAGGGTGCTCCAAGCCCTGTCTAACCTGGCCTTGAACACTTCCAGGGGTGGGGCAGCCACAGCTGCTCTGGGAAACCTGTGCCAGTGGGGTAAGTTTATTTATTCTTCCCATAAATACCTCAGTGCCCAATAACAAATTTGTTCTGCTTTGCTGCATCAGGGTTGAAAGTCCCACGGTGCCACCACAGCCTCACCAGTGAAGCGGCAGCTCAGACCCAGCAGTTTTGGCAGCTGCTTGAGGCAGCAGCTCTGACAGCCCCGGGCGGGAGCTGTGGCAGCTCCCAGCTGGAGCAGCAGTGAGTCCACCCCACCCCTGCACTGCCAGGACCTGGGCTGCTCACCCAGGGGGATCCCTGGGGTCAGAGGGGCTGAGCAGCACTCCCACATGCAGCTGCCCTGGGAGCCCATCTGGCCCCAGCTCCAGCACCAGCTCCTCTGCCCCAAAGTGATGTCTGTGGATGTTCACTCTGCTGGGTGTCACAGTGAAGGTTTTATAAATCATCCAGGCCTCCAGAAGCCTTCAGGCCTGGGAATTCTCTCTGGCTGTGGGAGAACTGTAGTTTTTCCCTGGCACAGCAGTGAATTAAGGAACAAGCTTTGTACCCATGAGGCTGGAGGTTGGCTGGTTTGGGGCTGCTGCTGCAGAGCACAAGCCCTGACCCTGGGGAACTCCCTGGAGACCGCAGGTCACCCTTTCACATCTGACAATTTACTTCCTTTTTCCTGGTGTTGGTAGTGCCTGCAAAATAGGAGCACTGAGACCAAGGAGAAGCTTTTCATTCATGGATCATCTCCCAGGGGAGAGAGCATCACCTGGGGCCTGGAGTGTCTCTGATGCCTCTGAGCCCAGCATATGCCCCTGGAGCTCCCACAGACCCTACCCAAGCTTTCCCAGAACTGGTAGCATCTCTGCCATGCACTATGCCCTCACCAGGCTTTGTAGGTTTGTCCCCCCATTTTAAATAAAGAATTGCTGGAAACTCGTGCCTCCCTCCAGGGCAGCCTTCAAGCAGCATCTTAAGACCACAGCTTCACAAGGTGGGGAGCACCCCATGCTCCCACACCCCTGTCAGGGAGGTGACAAATAACCAAACCAAGGGGACAAAGCTCCTCCCCATTTCTTATCCTTTCTGTTTCTTGCTCCCCCACCCGTGCAGGGTGACACAGAAGGTGGCCAAGCCCCTGGGACTCTGGGCCAGCTGATGTGGGGAGCATGGCTGGCACTTGCCCCTCCTGACACAGGGACTGAGCAGAATGACC